CTCTAGCTTGATTGACAGGTCGCCATAGATGACTGAGGATCTTCACAGATAACACAGGGTGGGTACGTCGTTGGGCCTCTACTTGAGCTAACCACTGATGCCGACTCAAAGTTTGCACTGGGGAAAGCCCTGCGTTGTCATTTATGAACGGTAGAGATAGGTGAAGGATATTTTACACAAAGTGAGAAGGTGGCTGGGCCAGAAACCGGACTTTCGCCCAGGAGACGGGTGTTCGTTTCCCATGTGAAACAAAAAGTCAACATTGAATGTATTACTGAAGTTACGTAGGTTATGTAAGTTGCGTAAGTCACATAAGTAATGTTATTATTTTAACCCAAACCATGATCTTTGCCTAAACCTACACCTAATAATTTACAAATTACAAATCAAGCACTGGTTGTATTGATTAGGCTATATTCTAAATAGCCTAAGCAATGAGAGCATACGCTACTTGTGCACTATGTATGCGTGCGTATATCCAAAAGAGCGCGCGCCAGAGACAGCGTGAAATTGATGGCTCAGTTCGGGCTCGGGTTGAAAAATTGCAGATGTTATCGGGCTGTGGCCGGGTTAGGGCCAGAGTTTTGGGCCCCTGCAGGGCTCTAGTTCACACAACTTGCCGTCTTTGACGGGAGTCGTGGCGTTCACACTGTGTGCCTGATCGGTGACAGGGGGTCGGTCACACACTACACGAGCTGACAGCGGCTGTGTCACCCGACGCTGGTCTCCAAACCATGTTTTGTCAAGAAAACACGCGTCAAATGTGAAACAGGAAATGATGCGACCTACACACAAAACAGCTGTTTGTTAGATAGCGATTATAAAGACAAAGAATCTGGGTGAAATAATGGATTAGCACACGTGTTTTGCAGTAAAAAAGTAGCTGCCTGCTCTGCCAGCTGTCTGCTTTCATTGGCTGGATGTCAAGTCTGCCGACTCCTCCAGATAATTGGCAAGCTAGATATCTGGCAGACGTCGGCGATGTGTCAGCGCTGTGTCAGGAAGCCGTTTCAATAAGTTGTTGAGTAGTTCACACATTACGACTGGTGACCGCCGATCAACCGCTGATTTACTACCGATCACAGCCTGAGGGACGCCGAGCGGCAAATTGGGCTAAAAATCATGTAGCGTGAACTGGGCTTTAACTGTTTTGATTCGCGCTCTCACGGCATCTTTTTTGGTAGCAGCAACAGTTGCCTTTGGTGTAGGAGACCTGGGTTTGATTCCGACTGTGACACATCCACCAATGTGTCCCTGAGAAATGCACTTAACCCCTAGTTGCTCCAGAGGCGTGTGACCTCTGACAAACAGCATCTCACAAAGTGAGGAGGACACCCCTCACATTTTTGTAAATATTTAATTATACCTTTTCATGTGACAACACTGAAGAAATTACACTTTTCTACAATGTAAAGTAGTGAGTGTACAGCTTGTATAACTGTAAATTCGCTGTTCCCTCAAAATAACACATCAGACAGCTGTTAATGTCTAAACCACTGGCAACAAAAGTGAAAACACTCCTAAGTGAAAATGTCCAAATTGGGCCCAAAGTGTCAATATTTTGTGTGGCCATCATTATTTTCCAGCACTGCCTTAACCCTCTTGGAAATGGGGGCCAAAGCTACTAAAATAATACCCTAGTTGTACTAAACCTGAATTTTCATTAAAGTTGATTCCTACAATATCACTGGGTAGCTGAGAGCTTCTAGAAACCGTGACTGCTGCCTCATTTTAACCACAAGATTATGAGAGTGAGAAAATTACATTACATTCATTTGGCTGATGCTTTTATCATAAGCAATTTACAATAAGTGCATTCCACCTCAGTTAGAAAAAAAAATTGCATTGGTGTGGGCTGTAGCCTTTTCAGCTCCTGGGGCTGTGCCCAAGTGTGGAAGCGGGGGGTTGGTGATGATGTGTGGTGTGACTCCATGTACCCACACACACATTTCCCAACTCCACAGCCAGGCAGGGGGCTTCAATGGGTCGCTGACCCCTGGCATGGGGCCTGGTTACTGGGAGAGAGGGGTCGATAGGCCTGGTTGTGTGGGGGAGAGTGGGTCAATAAGGAAAAAAGACAATATTTTCTACTTTTTCTCAGTTTAATTATTGCAGTTTGTGTGTAGTCTTATCATTGTTCTTGTTTACATTTAGTTTGTCATTTTGTTTTTGTGAATGTAAATAAACATAACTGAACTGAGTTTAGAGAAAAAAAGAGCTCACCATAACTTGTCAGTGTATGTACACAGAAACCAGGTTACAGGGGGAAATCTAATTTAAACTGGATGTTAACTACCTTTTGTTGATAAATTGGTAAATTTATTGGCTTGTTACTGCCACCAAATGTCAGTCAGCAGAACAGAGTGAAACCAATGACAATGTGAACTGCGTCGCCCGCATTCTCGCACACAACCATGTGCGTCCTTGTTCACATGCACAGTGCAAACAAAACGTGGATCCCTTTGCAAAAACAAGGCTCAATAGCACTACTAATGGTCAAAAACTCCACAAGGTGCCCTAAGTACATGTAAATGTACCAAATGCATGTGCACCAGTACTTTGCGTATGCATGTGTGTATCTGCCTACAGTAGTGTCCAGTATGCATAGTGGATTTAATTGGCATTCTGTATAATTTTATGTTTTGAGTGTGAAGTATAGCTTCAACAAAAAATAAACATATTCATGTCAACTGTAAGTTTGTATATCGTAATATATTGTCCACAGGTGTTTGTTCTGCTTTGTCATTTTTTTCATTCAACTTTCAAAAAGTCTGATTTAATATTTCTCAAGTCTCAAATTAAAAATTTTGGGAGGCTGTCAGACTTCATAGCTACTGTTTCAGTCTTTTTCTATGTGTTGACACCTTTTGTCAATGAGGTCCACCTTTTTTTTTGGCAATATTAATATCATACTTCCATTGATGCCGAGAGAGAGCGAGCAAGAGAGAGAGAGAGACTGGAGTGAGTAATGGGGAAGCATTGATTATGGCTGTTAACTCTGGCTCTTTGATGTGGATAATGCAGTCTCTCTCTTCCTGCCTGTGCACTGCCTCTACACTCTAAAACCCCCGGGCCTCAGAGGATATTGGGTTGAGAGAAAGTATACATCAGACATAAGCATAAGCTTGAATGTGACAGAAGACGAGGGAGAGGGAGATGGAGAGAAGGCATGTGATTGTGTGTAAGAGATTAGGGTGTTGTTGATGTTTGCGTGAAAAAGAATGTGCTTTCAAAATTACACAGAGCCTTTCTTTAATTTTTTCTTTAATGCCCCACAACTTAACCCTTTGATGCCGATTGTTGCAAATGAAAACACAACTCATTTTTTTTTACTGTAAATAAATTCAGACGTCAAGGGGTTAAAGCTGAAGTAGGTAAAGTTGGCGAAACTAGCAAGAGGAACCCCCCTTTAGGTCGTCCTCCAAGGCCACTCCTCCAAAACAATTTCATGCGCAATGAGTGCACGGGGAGATAGGCAAGTAGGCTGAATAAAATGAGTGTGTATTTGGCATCTAATACCAGATATTTCCCTCAGATGTTGGCGGAGAGCTAAAAAAAGAGTAATATTGCATTTGGATTCATCTCGTGGCCTGAAACCCTGCTCTAAATAAATGCTAGTGTTGCATGATGTGTTGGATGTGTAAATAGACAACTGTTTGATAACATGTCTGCCACATAAACTTAAAATATGTTGTGTCAGTGTTGTTTATATTATTTCTGGTATCAAGTGCTACACAATTAATCTACAAAAAAAAAAAAGCATATAATCAGATTGAAGGCAGGCAATTCACACGTTTGTGTGTAGATTCAAAGTGCTAGGCAGAAACACTATTATTGTACTTTACTAAACAAAAAAATTATTATTACTGAAGACAATGAAGAACATATCATAATTTAATCCAGGTTTAAATAACTTAAAACATGTTTGTTTGTTTGTTTGGGTTTTTTTTTCAGTTTAACTCATATTTAATTCATGAGGCCTACATAGAATGGGCTGCATAATTGATTCAGTTAAGAAACAGGGGGCATGATTTCAGCCATATCATGAATTTAGCCCCAGTAACAATTGTAATAATAATCAGTTTATAGAGTATATAACAACTTTCAATGGCCATTCTTTCAATTTGTGGACTTTTTATTAGATTGCCTGTGTGTAACAAAGGGTTAGGGTTGTGGAGTCCAAAATGGCACACTGTAAAATTACCTTACTGGTAACTTTTCACTGTTTACTGACCATAATCTTCTTACGTTGAAGATGTCAAATACACTTTTGTACAAAGCAAAAGTACTCGCATTTAGTATTCGTTATCCACTGCATAGAAGATTTTGGGGGTTCTGTACTTGTATTTACCCAAAACATGAATTTCCTGTGTCGTCTTTTCCAGAATCTCTTAATCAGATTATTTAATTTGTTCAGCTTCCATAATCAATTATAGCAACTAATTATCGGTGATCACTGTAATCACACTGCATGTAAGGTTACTTCCCAAGCCTGGTTGTATGTCAGGACAGTCATGGTCGTTTGCAGTGCACTGTGGTGGCTTTTGCTTTCTCTGTGGCCATGTGGGCTTCACGAACAGTGACTGAAGTCAAAATGGTTGACATGCAGCCAAATGAGCCAAGCCCTACAGAGCTGCGATGACCTCATTCTCGGTCTCTCTGCTCCATCAGCTCCACTCATTGACCCCGAGTGAGGAGCGAGCTGTTTTAGGGAAGCTGGCTCCCTCTGCTGGAGACAAGAACTTTATAGATGGTTCGAGGAACTAGCAAACAAATTCTGTATGTGATGCGGTGAGGATGTATGAGTCTCCTTTGCCATCAACCAAATGCTGAAGATATGACATTTAATGTTAATGAAAACTTTTTTTTTTTTGAATAAATACATGTGATTGCTGAAAGCTCAAGCATATTCCTTAAAAAGCTGTAAAAGCATAAGTGGTGTATTGCCCTTAAACCTGCAATCATTTATTTTTAGGCCACTTAGGGACAGCAGAAACAAATTATAAATGCAAGCAGTTGTTTATTTATACATCCAGCAGTTACATTGTCATTAAATTTGAGTTTTTAAAGGCATAATGTGTAAGATGCAGCCAGAATATTAGTTTAAAACATTCAAAATAACATTTTCAACAGAATATGAAGAAGCAACAGTTCTGACATTAGGTCAAATATGTCTATGTACTGTGTTACAGAGATCTACCGAAGTTGGCATGCTAACCAGCTAGCCCATCCTGTGTTGTTATACCACTTGTGCCTTGAGAGGTGATACCAATATCTCAGGCCTCCCCCCGTAGTTGTGCAAGCAGCGAGTTCGCTACATTAAACAAGCTCTCTTTGCTTTTTTTTAGTCTCATAAATAAGCAAAATAAACAAAATATCAAGAAAGGACATAGTCTTACACCTATTTTCCTTTTTTCTCTTCAAAGTTTCTCTCTTTCACCAAGCTAATTGTTGACAGAAACAAACCAAACCATCTTGTTTTAGTCATTTCCACTGTTCAATCACCAACTCTTAAAAACTCCCCGCCACCTTGCTGATGCCTGACCTCCCTCAAAATAATGTTGACTCTTTAAGAGTATAGTGTTACACAGGGACGCTGAAAAGGGGGGGAAAGAGGGGAGGAGAGGAGATAGGTCTTCATTCAGCAAATGGAGCTGGCTCAGGTGAGGTGAACTTAATCTCTGAAAGCTAGTTAGCGGACCTTTTGAGTTTACATTATTTTGTAGAATAAAAAGAAAATGGACAGAAAACTGAAAAACAAAAGTAAAGGAGGGAAGTTTAGTCCTGTTTAGTGCATTTTTTAAAAATTAATTTCGGTGAACCGACCCTTTAACATGACCATATTGATTATGTGATTGTGTTGATCAATACAGTTTTTATCATGCTTTCACAGTATATGTTAAGTAAAACACAAAACGAGCACTTTTGCAATGATACATTACTGATTTTAATCACAATCTATCACAGCATTTCTCAGTGGAGAGGACTGAGGCAGTGTAGCCCTGCTAGCAGCCCAAATCCTCCTGAACTGGAAAATAAAGAAAACCGTTTGCATACGAAAATATATTTAGACATCAATTTGCAGATTAGCTGCAACCAGTTAATTTAGCTCGGCATACAATGTATTCTCTGCTGGCAAAGATAGGAAAGTCCTTAATTTGCTTGCCATCTGTGAGACCAAATCCTGCCTAAGGCAACCAAAGAGTCACTACTGGTCCGATGCTGCCAAAGCTGTCTTGACCAACTGACCAGATGATAAAGATATTTTGTGAACCAAACAGTGACGCTGGTCCATCATGATAGTCAACATATTTTTAAAGGATTCCTACAAAAATTCTGCTTGGTGTCCACTGAGGCGCTCTTTTCTGTCAGTATTATTAATCAGATGTAAAAAGTTTCTCCCTAAACATGTTTTAAAATGGTGCTGCAGCCTGTTAAACCAGGTATCGTACATTTATCTGTTGTACAAATAGAAACTATTTCCCTGAACAATTTCAAACTCCCTGTTAGCAGTAAAGTCATGCAAGAGCTTTAGGCATAATACACATGCCAAAAACCTCCAGGCGGTGGAGGTGGAAAAACGAAACAGCACAGTTTGTGTCACCTAAATGGCAGGGCACTACTGAACTGATGAACTACAATAGCTTATTCTGAATAGAAGGAAATCTGTTCCTAGAGAGAGAAATGCTGTGTGAGAAGTTATGGTTTCACTACGTGTGTTCATCACCATTACGACATGTCCTGTACATCTGCAGCTGTTACTACTTCATTATGTATATGATGTGGATAAAGCTGTTTTGGAGACAAACCACAGATAAATGCTTGTTTTATTGGCAACATGAATGTGAAAACATTGGTCTGTAATGTTTCTTTGCATTCAACCAGTTGAAAAAGATTTTTTTGGCTCCGAGAAGCAACAATAAATAAAGAGCCTTAGTGTAAAGTCAGTTTGCTTCAGTGTAATGGCTTCTGTAAACTTTCTACCCTGAACAACAATCAAGCTACGGATCAGTGAAACAGGCCGCAACGCCTTAAGGACGAGCACCCAGTGGACACAAAACCATCAACCTGAACAGAGACAACCAGAAAACAGTTATAATTATAAAAAAATATTGTGCTTTAAAATTTTCTTCCACCATCATAAAACACCATATAATCATGCTCCAGTTCCATACATCCAGCCATCCACCTCCTAACCCCACCCCCCCCACACAGCAATGCATTACACCCATGGGAGTCCTCTTATGAATTTGAGACATCACACAGTCCACGACCCAGGTCACGCTGTCAATATACACACATCAAAGCTACATATGAACAGCAGATACCCATGCACTTCTGAGTCAAACAAGACTTACAAACCTCAAAATTAAAAGCATTTAAAGATGGACTTCCACAATGGAGACAGATAAAATCTTCCATTTAGCACAAAACAAAAGCAAAGCAAGCTACCCAATCAAAACATTTTTCAATTGTTAATCAAAAACATACTGAAGAAGGGCTGCTCTACAGTCACACCAGAGAAAACATTCACTGAGCGTGCCCATCTTAAAAATATATTTATATATATCTATCTAGAAATATTTACATGCACAGTTGCAATCATAATAACACATCCACCTCCTTGTCCCCCAGGCTAGCATGGCTGTGGTGGCTTTGAGGTGAATCCCATGCTACATGCTTGATGGCACCAGGCTTGTCCAAATGTCCATCAGTGACAACTGGAAGCTGAGGCGGCACTCGTTTAGTAGAGTTAATACACCAAATGATAATAGTTAGTACCCTTTTTTTTTGTTTTTCAAGATAGCAATATATCACAATACAATCTCCTGTGATATTGAGAACTGTGACTGTCTTTTACTCCAGGGTGTTTAACCCTGAACTGTTTTGCTTTTGTTTGTGCCTCATGTGGTTTATCATAGTTGTTCATACAAGTCTATGACATTGAAAGCTCCTCATACAGGCAGCGAATAGATTTTTCACATGTAGTCTGCCATTTTACAGATGTTTTTAATTTCATATCACAGATGACTGTCTTGCAGTATATGGCAGAATCACGTTTTGTGATTCAATTTTGTGATTTACCAACCCTACTGCAGAGTGCAAATAATTAGCTTACAAAAAAATTGTCAACATGGAAATATTGTATGCCATGTCACAGTGTTAATGTTCAGAGTCAGATTGAGAGATTACTGTAAATGCTAAATTTAGAAGTGCATATGTCAGAGTACCAAAGACTTTTTATTTTAAACAATCTCAAATGTTTTACTTGAGACGTTTTCAACTGTAAACCTTTTACTTCAGCAAGCAGAATACACTTATGAAGGTAAAAAAGGAGAGGAAGTGTGCCAAACAGGACGTCACCTCAGCTCAGATTTTTAAACAAAACGTTCCTCTGTTCAGCTCAAATCGTGTCCAGTACCCAGTTGTCATGATTGCTTTTGGCACAACCAAATGGCTGTAGCATACACTGAAAAGATTTGGATTATTTGTTCCCTTGTCACAAAAAGCCCAAATAAAACAGTCAACCCAGACAAGCCCAATTTGGTAAAACCAAAGATTTGAACCAATGACCCCAAATTTAGAGGGGGAAGGGGGATTTCAACCACCACCAACCCTGGGAGCCTTGAGGATGAGGGAGGGGAGGGGGAGGAGCATGCAGGGTAGGGGGGTGATGTCTGGGTCTTCTCGACGTTCAATCATTCCTGTCGGAGAGAAGCAGTGTGTCTTTAAGGGGTTGTAATGATTTCCTGTTCCGAAATAAACAAAACACAGGTACAGTTGTTACATTTTGTACACATTTTTAGTCAAAGACAAAAGAAGGCGTCTGATGAGATTAGATGAAACGGGCAGATCAGTTTCCACGTATGGACAACAACCTGAGATCTTATTTATCTTTGGGAAAATTATGTTCATTCTATAATCTTGGTCTTGTATGTTTTGGCGAAACGTGAAGGTGAAAGTTACTTCCATGGTTCAACTTTGACATTCAGTAGTCACCATAGATGTCTGCAGTTTAAACATGGAATAGTTGATTAGATTGGAAAGTTAGTTTGGTTGAGATTTTATTTTTTAAATTTTCAAAACAGAGGGGTTAATAACATAATTTTCGATGGATGAGAAAGATTCCCATGTTACGACTTGGGTGTTCATTTCATCCAGATGATATTACAGAGTTAGTTGTGTGAGGATTAAAATACTGTTAATTGACAATTTGACACTATATCCACTAAATTAAGGTTTAATTTCAGTCAGTGCACGGCGAACTTGGCTGAAGCGAGGCTTTTATATTTGTTTGGTTTACAGGCACTTACGTATGCAAAACCCATGCAAACTCAGATGGCAAGGCAAACAAACATTTATTCAATCAGAATAATTTAAAAGATGCTGTAATCATGACTTTAGACTTAAAGTTAAATTAGTTGTAAAGCAGTCTCTGACTCTCTATCCTGTAGCTGAGGACTAAAAAGTATCATGAGTGAAAAGAATGATGGCAACATGAAACTCCAGCAGGGTACACTTTTGAGAAGCGCAGGTAAAAATAAGTTAATGCAACTTTCATGAATTAATTTACAATGAATACATTCTTAAGCAGTTTGAGATCGTGAAAAGTTATTGTGCTACATTTATGACATTTAGGAAAAGGGAAAATCCCAACTCAAATGGTATTTCAAGTGAAATTCAGAAAGAAAGTTGTGTTGAGACCAATTCAAGTGGATTTTGTGGATAAAACAAACACTTCAATTGCCATGAATGCAACACAAAAAATCAATAATCCTGTCCAGATGGTTGAAATAACCCATGCTCAATTATTTCACAAATACTGATTTAAAAGGCACCGAATTGCATGCTTCCACCTAAACCTGCAGCTTTTTACCACAAGGTGGCACCAGTTCATCTGATTAGAAAATAGTTGCCCCTTCCTTACCAATTAAACAGCTTTTTCAGCTCTATTAAAGCTGTATGGTACCAACACATAGGAAGTACTTATACTAACATATGTACTATTGGATATTCAGCCATTATCAGGATATAAAATTGTTTTGGATGGCGTAACATTTCAGTAATTCAGTGTTAAACCAAGACCAAGTCAAACAATGAGGCAGAGCAAGACACATTCATTTATGTTGGTATCAGTCCATCATTATATGCAAATTTCAGTTAAAATATTTTCTTGTCCATATTTGGATTTCTTTTTTGTTGTTTTCTGACATGTGTGTAAATGAATGAAAACAGAGTGGTTGTTATAGTATTTCCAGCAAAGACATGCAGGACTTTTCAAACCTTTGCAGCAGCGAGTCAATGTGGCCACGCCTTGATGTGAATAGAGACCTAGTATCTAAATAAAACCTCACTCCATCTACAAGTTAACATGTGAAAAACAACATACAAGCTGGTACTTCTGTCCAAAACCTTTTTAATTCCAGTTTTGTCTCTCTTCTTAGATAAGGTTGTGTTAGTCTTGAGCCCTGGACACTGTCAGAAATGGCGTGCAATTTAAAAAAAAAGAAAAGTAATTTCTGAGAATAAGCAACTCCTGTAACTCCTGCAAAATTTACCTTTTAAAAAGTACACTGTATGTAGAGCTAGAAACCCCTCACCCCCACTCTGACCTCTGGATCACACCCTTTATTATGTCGGTGTTGAATGTGACTTGGTCAAGGTTATCTGTTGTACCAGTCAGCAGGCACAGAATTTAGCGCAGTGCCAGCAGGTTTCTCAGAATTAGTCTGCTCATCATCACATGACGAAAACAAACGTCTCTCATATAGCAGCAGTGCTGAATATCTACTGTTTCAACACGGAAAACATTCTTAATAAGGAAGACTTCTGATATTAAAATCATCCATGAGTTCCAAGTAAACACTTTCCTATGCTGAGTGTGTTGAGCAATAGTAGGTAGCTAAAATTACTAATTGTATTTGATCATCTCTAATCTCTTCTTTTTCCCTCTCTCCTGTCTATACCTGTTTGATCATCTCTCCAGTTCTCTCGATCACGATGGTCTTGGCTTCTTTGACGGGTGATGTCATCTGGTAGTCGTCGCCCAGCAGACCAAGCAGAGGGTACTGGTTCCTGTACCTACACACACACACACACACACACACACACACACACACACACACACACACACACACACACACACACACACACACACACACACACACACACACACACACACACACACACACAGTGTGGTGGGTAGTTGTAACACTGCAGAATAAGATAATAAATTAGTTTACCAGCATATTGGGGCTGATATTTCCCCCTATTTTTGGATTAATCTTCTGATCTGTAAAATAACTTCTACTGCCTCCATCTTTTTCAAATACTCACTTGCTCTTCTAGGTTTTCTCAATGATGGAAAAATGTGTTAAGTCATATCCGCTCTAGCTGTATAATCCACTGTATGTTATACACCAGGGGTTTTTAAAGTGTGAGGCAGGGGGGCTCCAAACAGTTTCAGGGGAGGCTCAGTGAATGGAAGTGAAACAATATTACATTACTTAGTGCATTAGTTATCAAAAGGAGATCACGTAGAATAGCCTACATGTGTGAGAGTTCAGAGATTCAGTAGTTTTTCGAAACCATTTTCCCCCAATCAGAGACAGAAACTAACAAATACCTTAGGGCCGATCTTTTTTAAAACTGTGTTGTAGCCATATTAGGCTGTTTTTGCCTAAAAATATTAGGCTATCTTGGCTCAAATGTTGGGGGGGGGGGGAATCAGTTAAGTATGTTTCAGTTAAGTATGTTTCAGTTAAAACAACTAATTCCTTGTTCTTCTACAACTTTGTCCACAATACTCCACTCAGACTCGGACCCTCTGCTTTCGTCAGCCCTGCCAGACTTATCTTAAAAAACCTCCTGTTGTGTTCTCTGTCTGCTCCCAGTTCCTCCCGAAACCAAACCCTAACAGGTAAAACCTAAAAGTGTTGTGTTTCACTGTCAAAGGTTTTAGGGGGGAGTTTTTCCTCATCAGAATCAAAAGTCTAAGGACAGAGTGCGTCATATTCTGTACAGTTTGTAAAGCCCCTTGAGTTAAATTAGTGATTTCTAATATTTGGTTATATAAATAAAATTTACTTGACTATTGTAGATGGTCTAGGGCTGCAGCTAACAATGATTGTTTTATTGATTCACTGATGCACCGTTTAAGAAGTACGTGTGCAACCCAATCTCATGGCCCAACCAGGAGAACACCAAATGCACGTGTGCACATTTTCAGGTGAGGATTGCGGCTTACTTTGGCTAGCCTTCAACTCAACAATCAATCATGATTTCAGTTAAATACTAAAGTTGCTGTTACCTTGTCTGCTCCGTGGACTTCATGATACACCAGGTGTTATGCCGAATTTTGCAAACCTGCCGAGAATTGCATGCACCTCCAAATTCTGCTTTTGAACCCTATAATATTCTTTGTGGGGTTCATCAATAGTCATAAATAAATCAGTATATATTTCATATTCATATTTTATGAATGTTAAGAATCGTTAATATTTTATTACACTTTTGAGATTCAGCAAAAATATATGGTGTTAACAGCGTTTAAAAAGAAAAGGACCTTAAGAGGTGGATGCATAATTCGGCAAAACAGATGATGAAGGCTACCTGCCGAGATTTGCATTCACCTCTTTTCTCAGCATAAATGAAATGCATGCAATTCTCGGCAGGCATACAGAATTCGGCACAACACCGGGAGCTTTCTGATCAGGTGCAGTCATGCTGTTGCTGTCAAGTTTCGTTTTACGGTGGACGGACTGTAACATTACAGAGTTGTTGTTTAGCTTGAAATAATCCCATACTTTGGACACTTTCTTCTTTGTCCCTTGCTATTTTCTCTCTCTTCCTCCACTTTGCAAACAGCGCCATCATAATCACGTGTCATGTTCACAGCGTAAGCACGATGTGTGACAGTAATAAATGTCCGTGTGAAACAGTGTGCTATATAGTTATATGGATTAAACGAAGCAAAGAATTTGCCTCTATGCTTTTTAGTTATCGAATTAATCGATGATCGATCGATCGAAGATAGTCTAAAACATTTACTTTAATAATTGATGAATCTGCTGATTATTTTCTTGATTGGTGGTTTGGTCTTTAAAATATCTAAAATACTGAATACTGCTAAATACTGAAAATTTTCCCTGGTCACATCTTTAAACTGCTTCTTTTGTTCAACCAGCAGTCCAAACCAAAAAGATCATTTGTTTACTGTAATGTAAGACAAGTATTACCAATAACCCTTACTTCTGAAAATATTTGACATTTTTGCTTTTAATTGATTATTAAAATGTTATTATTAGCTGTAAAAAAAAAACCAATTGATATGATGTTGTACCTCTTGGTGATGATGGTCTTGGTTACGTTCTTGGAGCTGTTGTTCTTCTCCTGCATCAGCTTTCTGATCTCCTGAGGATCACAAGTGGTCAGAGGTCAGCAGGCAGGTCAGAAACTCAGCAACAAGTAAAGTGTGCTTACAGGCTACCATTAGTGTGTAAAAAAAAAAATAAAAAAAAATAAATCTAAGTTCGCTAAATCGGAATGTATTCCTATGTCATTTTGTGTTTTATGTAATTGGATATTGTCTTGATCTTCTGTAGGGCTGGGTATCGATACGTGACGGCTGGGACGATACTGACCAGAATGTGTCTGTCCAGTTTCAAAAACTGTCAAGCATCAATTCTCTGGGCAGAGTTGTAGTCATATTACTTGCTTTTAGATCAGATAGTTAGAGATTTAAATTATAATCTTCCCAATTTTAGACAGTATTTTATTTTGTCAAAGTTTTCATAACTGCTTGTGTTTAGACAATGTTTAACAATCGAACATTTTGGCTTCTATTGTTAAATGAACAGAGAAAGTGTATCACAAATCTCACATCTTCTCAGTATGCTTCTCTTCTTGACAGTTTCTTTGGTCACTTAAATGCAAATGACCTTTAACCAAAACACACATCTGTTTGTGTGAGAACGCTTAACCAAAGGTATGCCATGCCAGCACCCTGAGGTGACAAAAACATTCCTGACTTGAAATTAACTGCTTCAGTTGGTGCTGCACAAAAACAAAAATAAGGTTAGAATGCAGCTGGACCTGAAAGGTGAAAACGAAAACTAATTCATGAAATGCTAAAGAAACAAATCAGCTCACACACCTGCAGGTGTCCAAACATCGGTTTTTCCAGCAACAAGCTGGCTTAGTTTTCATGAATTCTATACTTCATTCCAGGCAAGTCAAGCACTTTCTTTCTGCATGGCCGCATGCACGCTTGCACATACAACTTGGGTCTTATATTCCCAGTTTTTTCCATTATTGGTTTCTGTCTGGGAACACAATCTGAAGGCATGTGTTTAAAAGTATAACCCAAACCACAAATATGAAATCTGACCAGTCAGAAAGACCCAACAGGTTTGCCTCATTTGAACTACAGAAGCTGATCACATCAGATTCAAATTAATCTTTTTAGATATGAGTACATTCATTCAACATCATGGAGAATCTAATTCTCTCTTCCTGAGCAGTAAAATATTTGGCTGAAGTAACACAAGAAACACTGTTGGTGTGTTATGTTGCAGACCTCTTCCTGTCGGGTGATGGTGGTCTGTCGCTGATCCAACATGGCGAGCAGCTCTGAGATTTTCAGCTGGAGACTCTTATCTGAGGACGACTTGGAGCTGCTGCTGACCTCGGTCTGGATCGTCGTTATCTGCGACTGGAGGGAGGATGGAGAGAGATGAGGGACATTTAAGTTGTTCTTACAAGACATGTTAAGATATAACTTGTGTCTCTTTTGACCTGAGGACATTTTTAGCTGATTTTTTGTTTGTCTTGGATATAAAACTAACGTCACTGAACATACACAGGATATTCTCTCAATACATTACCGTTTTCCTGAAAGGCAAGATAGACAAAACAGTTGAATATGATATACTGAACAAGAGTGGTTCAACGTGTTTTAAGGTACAAACTAGCATGCTAACATTTGCTAATGAGCACCGAACACAAAGTACAGCTGAGGCTGATGGGAATGTCATTAGCCTTGCAGGTATTTGCCAATAAATTAAAGTATTGCACAAATTTAAATACTGACCTGATGACGGCGCTTTCCCCAAGTATTCACAAATCACCCTGAAGAGGACACAACTTTCTGAACCACATTTCATGGCAATTTATCCAACAGTTTTATTCTCACCCGCAGCCTCTGTATCTCCTGGTCTTTTTGTTCCCTCATGGAGTTGAGCTGCTCCTTGTACTGACGTGACAACTCCTCTGTCTTGATATGCAGGGTGGAGCTGCTGCCTTGGCCTGCCAGCTGAAGGACAGATAGACGAGGAAGGAAGAAAAGAGAAAGAAAATCATCATCCCAGCTGCAGAGTTAACATCACCTGCCTACTATTTTTTTTTATTTAATTTATTAACTCCCCTCTAGATTTGTCCCAAATGACAGATTGCAATAACAGAGGCACTTTATTTCAGGTTGCTTCTAAAAGCCAAATATCACATAACTGACCACCTTACAACATCATATACTGCCATATTATATATTCTTTTCTCTAATTAGGAAAATGAGGTTGATCAGAATAAATCGTCATTCTTTAAGTAAGTTTATACCATTTGAATGGTTTAGATAAACCTTTAACAATGACAATATAGAATACCTCTAATGCTTCCTCCAGATACTCTGTGTGTATGGGCCTTTCTTATTTCCCAACTTTGTGCCTCCTCGATCCCTCAACTCCTTGTGGCGCGTGTTAGTCCCTCCCACCCGAGATGCGTTTTCAATGAGTCAAGGAGGAGACGTGAGGAGAGACGAGTCGAGGAAACAGGCATTTAGCGAAAGGAGATGTCCTTGTCTCGACAATTAAATATGACCTGTTGCACAGCTGCATCATCTGTCCACTATTTAAGCCGTGATCTCTGTCAGAGCAGCCGACCAGCTTTTGCCACTAAAGGCTACAGATCATATCTTCACAATCCAGAAACATGTCTGTCAACATTAACACGTAGAAACATCGAGGTTCCAATAAATATTAAAAGCATCTATTGAAATTGGTCACACATCACAGTAGCCTACTGTCATGCTCTACATAGAAGTACAGTAACTTCTTTTTTTGCAGCGCCTTTTGCCTGAAAACAGATCATTTTTAACCCCTCAGCCTGATGAGGTGAGGTTTCATCATCATGAATTAACATTAGATCCTGACTGATCCAGTCGGCGTGTCAGGAGATTGTTAGTCATTAATTTATGTTGTCTGTGGCTCGTGCGTAAATGCGCACAGCGTCTCTGCAGAGGTGCTTCACCCAGCCAGCCGCACATCCACACATCACATTCAACAACATCAGTGGTATCAAATTGAAATGACTCCAGCAAGCCTCCTAGATCCTTGTTCCTCCAGGTGGATTTTAGGAATTGAGATGTCTGAGCTGAGATTGATTTCCGGGTCACAAGCTCGAGGAGGCACACATTTGGGAAATGAGGAAGGCCCTAAATGTGTATTCTTTCTGCACATGCTCGGATTTCAAAATCACAGTGGGTGCCAAGCGCTTCACAAGTCGAGTTTTTTCTTTTGATTATTGACATTGGAACATGGAAACCTTAATCATTTTATTAAGCAATATAATCCTCATTTGGATTGATTTATGTCATGAAGGGGAAAAAAAGCTGGCTTGTAAAATGTACTGTAACCGCAGCTACTGGTGGTAAAGCCAATTTACCTGCAGGCCACTTGCACCTGCACCTCGTCTCCAAATCCACGATAAACATCTTTCTGGTCAAGTATTTATATTTTTACTCACTGCTCTACAGGGTCTAACCATGAATCCTTACAATTGCACTTCAAAACAGCTCTGTGTGCCAGAAAGTTATTTTTAGGTGATAATTAGCTTGATGTCTTCTAAGATATATTTTGGTAGAATAGTCTTCAACAAACAGGGAGGGCGAGACAGGTGATGTGTGCTACCTTCTGTCGGAGCATCTCATTCTCCTTCTCCAGCACCCTCATCCGTCCCTCCACCTCTTTAATCTTGAAGTCGCGGTTCGACTCGGTGCTTCGGCTGCTCATGAGCTGGCTCTCCAGGGAACGCTGGGCGGCGGCGGTTTCCTTCAGAGACAGCTGTGACGACACACAGGAAGTCAGAAACACTTAGATTCAAAAATCAGCTGCTGAAGTTGCACTAATGCAGTCTAATACGACAGACCTACAGTACACCCTACACGAGTCGTGTTCAGTTTTTGTTGAAACCGTTTCAGAGAGCTGTTGATCATCTAGGATATTTTACTGTAGATGATTCCAAAACTGTATGATTGAGGTTAGACTAAATATTACTCTCAATACTAAGAGATATTTAATGTTTAAATAATAGATAAATACTACACCACCAAATTCTGATTTTGAATATACATAGAAAATAAAACTCATAAGTACTTGTCTTCCTGTAATGCCAAACTTGTTATAGGAGAAATTATTTCTAGAACAGTAATGCATTACTATGTATAATTCCAAATCTTATTTTCATAGTTTTAGGCATCTTTTCATTCTTTTCTGACCTTTTAGTCCCATACGCACCAGCACGTACCTTGAGATCCTCGGGCAGAGGTCTGTTGTCTGTTCCAGAGTCGACTGAAAACTAAAGGGGACAGAGCGTTTGCTGTCAGGGCCCCGAGGCTCTGGAACAGCCTGCCCGAGGAAATCAGGTCGGCTGAGTCAGTGAACTCTTAAGTCCCTTCTTAAAACATACTTTTAGGAGAGCCTTTCCCGATCTTATTTGACTTTATTTTATCCCTTTTATTTTATTCTATTTTACTAATTTTATATTTATCTTAAACGTGTATTTTAGTCTTTTCATGCTCTTATCTTGTTTTTTTGTATTATTCTTTACACTTGTTAAAGCACTTTGTTTTTGAAAAGTGCTCTACAAATAAAGATTATTATTATTTTCTATCAGTAATAATAAGGGATGCACCGGAATGAAAATTCCTGGACGTAGCCGAATATAATTTGCAGAATACCGAAAAAGTACATTCAAGTTTTTTCCTTTTATTTTTTAATTTTTTTTTACCACTGCATAAATACATTTTTTTTTACTCAGTGTTTCCCACAGGATTTGTAGAGACTCTGGTGGGGGGGTCCGGGGCCAGAAAGGGTCCGTTAAAGTAAATTACATGTGTCCGTTTACTTTTAATGGACACGTAATATGTTTTATACTTTCTGTGAATATAATCCAATTAATCTTATTTCCATCCTGTATAGACACTTTATTTTGAAAACCGGACGTTGTCACATGTCCTTGCGTTAAATTCATTAAGTCTGACCCAATTTAATAAATAATGTTGTATGTGGTTCTCGTATCGCGTAACATGAAGACTTCACAGCCTCTCTTCAGGTAGGACTCTCATACTGCAACACTTGTCTTTGTAAAGAGAGAAAATGACAGGATAAAGTCGCTAACCTGCCTGTCAGCTCGCTGTGGGCCATTTCAGTGGATTTACCACAAAGGCTTGAATACGTGTGCACTCCAAATTTAGGTGCGGCTCAAACTTATGCAGGTTAGCTAAACTTATGTGGAAGAGAAAACAAAGGTGAACTGTCTGTTTTAAACATCCGTCACAGTTTACAGCCCAACTTCCTCCTTCAACTTTGACCTACCAGACTAACACTAGTATTTTTTTCCTGTGCAATGACTAATTATTAAAACAAGTAAATACATCTACAGTGACAACATCAATACCCAGATCATTAACTTTACAGAAAACGAAAACACACACAGACAGACACACAGTACCTGGAGCTGTCTGTTGTTCTCCCGAACGGCCTCCAGGAGGCTGTCATACTGCCGAGCCTGGTCTATTTTGAAACTCAGATCTCTCTCCAAAGTCTCCTTCTCGCTCTCCAGGCGCTGTGAACACAGACAGACAGACAGTCATGTTAACAGTAATGAGTGGTCACATTTTCTCATGTTTATAGGTGGTTCAGTCATATTTTCTGTCCATGTCCTCAAGATTTCTTTTTTTTTATTGTTGATTGTAAGTTTTGATGTAGGATTGTGTTTAAATTATTACTATGTTTTATGTCTTCTTTTTAATCAAACAACAAAAAGAGACAAAGAACTTTTTCACAATACCAGCACATATTTCCATTTGCTCCCTTTTGTCTGTTTGAGATGCTAATTGATTCTGTTCACGAATGCAAACACACATTAAAACGCCACCACACTGTATTAACAATTACAATTATGGAAATTGCCATTCATAAGCTGTTATTATCTGGCCTGAAGCCTGTACATGTCTGATGTCATTTTTAAAGCATTCAATTAGCTCACACAACAGTGAATATAATGTTTTGTGCAGGCTGTGGCCCTACTGCTGTACAGATCTTGATCCCTATGTACACTTTATTTGTAACCAGCCATCCTGATGGATGTTGTATTTGGTTGTTTTTGTTCACATACATTAAAGTAAATATAGCAGGAACTGGGATATCTTGCTTTCAAATGCTTAAAAAAAAAAAAATCACATCTGTTCTATGAAAATATGAACATCAAGGGAGTCTTTTGTTACTGTGCAGGAATTACGCATGAACAAATTAATCAAACAGGAAGTTAAAAGAAAGTCAATAAAAGTCACTATTACAATCAAATAATAGTGTCTTGATAAGAGGTACCGTCTTGATATCAATGTCAAATAATTTACATTTTATGTTCCTTTGTACTTAGTAATAATAATCCAATTAGACATTTATACATACATTTTGCTGAAGAAAATCTTGATTTATTACTTTTGCTAAAGTAAATTATCCAAATAGTTCTTCCCCCACTGCTAAATATTCAATCCTTCTACAATATAAATGTGTTTTTTTCCCTTTATACTCATAAATAAGGTGACCAGGAGGACAAATTACATTTGTATATTATTTTTAAGATAAGCTATTTTACTTTTGGTCGAATTTGGTTGTGTTGCTTGTCATGTAATGAATTTTGTCAGCCAGTTTAGGGTGATCTGATTTGTATGCTGCTTGATGTTGCTGACGTGTTCATTTATGCAGTCAAACGGGAGGACCTGGCTCCTTTTCAAAGGCCACAATTACAGTTCAGGTTGTCAGAGTCAGGCCCGCAGAGAGCTGCACACAGCTCTGTAATCATCCCAACTCACATTTCAAACAGATATTTAAGCTCATGCTAGAGGGTGCCGTGTTAAAATCTGAGTTATGGTGACAAAACTGGGACTCAACTAAACGCCTCAAGCATCTCTTGGCCACATAGAAATATTTTTTTTGTCAGGTGGCGACAGCTCTTACCCGCAGGTCTTCTGACATGTGGAGGAGCTCCTCTCTCAGACTGCTGAAGGTGGACAGCAGTAGGCGCATGGTCTTATCTGCAGTGAGACGAGTCTGAGAAACACACACAGAAAGATGAGTTATCATATGAGTTTAGAGTCCTCCTCCCTGAGAAATAATATAGTGAAAAATTCAATGAATAGTCGGGGCATTTATTTGCTTCAACCACTGAACTCACCCTGCCTATATATGGGACAGGCCTTTAATTCCTTTCTCATAAAACTCTTTCTTAACAAATATTGTAAATATGCTACTATTAAATTGTTTCTTTAAACCAGTATGAATATTACATAGGGCTATTTCATCTAATTTGTTTATAGGGCTGGACCCAAATATTCGACCGTTGGGGACACATTCGATTTTCAATTTTGAGATTTGATTGAGGGTTTTTTTTGTTTGTTTTTTTTTGTGCGCCTGACCTCCGCCGACAGCAGTGAACATAACGCTCCAGTTCACATCAAAGGGAAAAACTCTGCGGGAGCACTTTAAACTGAGTGATGACAGCAGTCGTGTGGCAGTTGTGGGGTTTATTAATTTTACAATTGCTTAATTTCATTACATGTCAAAATTCCTACATTTTAAAATTAATCAGTAAACTGTAAGCTGGAAACAAACAAACAACACAATGAACATATTTAAATATTTATAGCCTATTAGGCTGAATGTATGAGATGAGCATTTAGTAGGCTATAATAAAAGTTAAAAGTGAATTTAACGTGTTAGTTTTAGTTACGCTACTGGAAATACCGCTAAACTATTCCCGGATTCTGCGATTAGCTTCGACTAATCGCTCTTGATTACTATCGAAACTTCGACGCTCAGCCCTACTTGTTTATCATTCTAGCAAGTCTGAACTGTTTCCGTAAAATTAACTGAACGATCTTACGATGTGTAGCATTAGACCTAGCTCAAGCGGGCGACCCACTCGGCTTTAAGAGGTTTTATACATCCAAAGAACTTCTATAAAACCAGACCTGGCGTTTCATTTATAAAACTGTGCGTAGGAACTCATTAAAAGTGTACGTGTGCCCAAAAGCCAAAAGATATTCAGACTTCAGACTGAAATGTGGCGCATGTGAGGGAGCTCCATGTCGAGATTAAAGATTAAGATTAAACCAAATGCATTCCGCTTGTTTAAACATTTATTTAGGCCACACAAACAGTCCACTCACTTAACGAGCCTACTGATGAGTTAAAAGAAATATAACTTGTTGTAGGCAAAATGACAATGAAATAGTGTTTTCCATAACATGTTTTTACAAGCAGCTCATCACATCCACACGCTGGCGCACAGCGTTTGGCTCAATAAGGCAACGAACATGTGAGAACAATAGGCTACATGAAACTATGCACTGGTATTTGCTCGACTGACACATTGAAAACGGCATCAATTTAAATGCAATTTGTCCTCCTGGTCACCTTATTTATGAGTATAAATTGCACTGCATGCAAGTAGCCTATTAATTAAAAAATTCCTGATTAAACTGTACAACATATTTGAGGCTTCCTTTGCAGAAACAAAATCTCCGTTTGTGTTTATGATCCTAAATGTGGGCTGCAAATGATCTTAAATTATGTTTTTTGGCGCACTTCAGGGTAAATCAATCAAACAGGTGTTCATTTACTCAGAAAGGCTTTAAGCCTATAATAGTAGGCCTGTTCATTTCAAACCGTTTCATCCTTCTGCCATATGAGTCGCCGTTTCTCTTTTCTCCTTTTTATGTGCGTAGGCATGGTTCAGAGTTTACTTACAGGACCGCACATTCTCCCGTCAAGTTTGTTTTTTATAGATCACAACCTTTGCTTGGGAAGTGGCGTACGCACATTTCCAGCCCTGTTTTGTTTGTACGCACCGTTTATAAATGAGGCCCCAGGCGTCTAATTGAGACTTGCAATCATTTGTCAAAACATGTGGCCACACCAGGCCAATAACACAGACAAATACAGACATAAATAAATGTTGACACTTTATTTTAACACCCCTATATCCCCTTTGTCATTATATATAATGATATATTACAGCTATGGCATATCAGACATTCATTACTGTCAAACTGTTTTGGATGCTCATAGGAGAAGTCTGATTCGTAGACAAATACATTACATGCAAAACTACATGATGCTGTGATAATATGTATTATAACCATGTATAAAGCGTAATTTCTATTACAGGGAGTTAAATAAAATGTGGATCAAAAACAGCAAGAAAATATATTTTTAAAAATCATGTGTTGGATGCTTGTAACGCCCGAAGCAACGGACGTGAAGTAAGTTTTAAACGTTACACCTTCTGACCTGTAGATTCAATATGACATGATTGCAGTGAAAGAGAATAAAGCCAAATGGTTAAACTACAAATACACAGCATGCGTGACATTAAAGATAAATAAATGTGAATCAACACAGTATGCCACATTATGGTCAATGAGGAAGTGAATTATAATTACACACACACAAAAAAAAAAAGTGGCGTTTTATGGGAATAATGATCAAAAGCTCTGGTCTCTCACTCACCTGCAGCAGGTAGCGAATTTGTTGTTTGGTCAGTTCAGTGGCTCCTTTGGGAAGCAAAGCCTCCACCTCCTCTTTCTCTACCTGAAGACACACACACATACACAGATATGATATGATATGATATGACAGGTGGAAATGGGATAAAGGAAATCCTGTCAGTTTGAATAATTTCCACAGGTTTCTTAGAATTCCTTGTATTTTTAATTTTGAGAAAGTATTTGGTCCTTAAAAATGACAGAAATACGACAATATACACACGCGAGAAAAGCACTGGCTGCATCAGTATGTATGTGTGCACATAAACAGTGAAGAATCAAACCACCAAATGTGTGAGAAAATATTCTCAAAGTTGTTTAGACATAAGCTCATGGAATGTTTTATATTTTTCATCCTGTTAAATATCCCCTCAGATTGTTTTCATAGATATTTATCTTGTAAGCTTTGATGAAGTCTGCTGAGCTCTTTTCAGATCTATTTATCAGATGTGTGTGATGCAGGGTTTGTGTCTCACCTTGTAATCATTGCTGGGATCCAGCTGGTGTTTCCTGTAACACACATAGGGGAAAGACAAACAATGAGGACAGCAGCGTGACTGGAGAAAACTGAGTTGTGTGTGTGTTGCAGGGTGAACACGACTCGGATTGTGACTCACGAGTCTTCCTTTAAGGGGAATGTAACCAGCCACTGACAAGGGTTTGTGTGCGAGTGTGTTATGTCTTCATCACATTGTGAGGACAAAAGCACTTCACTCAGTAACAAGGGGATTTACCTCCCATCAGGGGACAAACATTCAGTAAAGAAGGTAAACTATTTATTTTAGGGTTCAGAAATTAAATTTAGCTTGAGGATGGGATTAGGTACACAGGGTTTTTCCTGGCTCAGAATGGTGCTTTCGGGGATGACCATGCGCGACAGTAAGCATGATCGGTACACGTAAAGAAAAGGCAACCTTATGACCGAAATCTATGCATTTTCTTGTAATTTCTGGCCATTTGATTATATTTATAGGTGACATTTGATTTGGATAGTCTGCCTAGTATGTAGTTTATACAGTATTTGTAACATTTAAACAGCTTATTTAATAATAAAACTTTGATTAGGGTAAATGTTTGTGTATTTATTACAATTTCAGATCATAGTATAGGCTACTATATAGTTTACCACAACTTTAATATTAATTCTAGTTGTAAAAAAACTGCAGTTTTATTTTTGTGGATTGTTTTTATTCATTTAATTGATGTGCTAGAACGCTAAGGGCTAACTTGTCAATAATCAAAATAATTATAAGTTGCTATTTCTTGATAAATTTAAGATTTGAAATGCTGTTTTTTTTTCTTAGCATTTTGGCACTGGAGATTAAAACAGCTAAAATGGCTTTGGGGGGCGCCAAAGATTCCTCTATTCAGGACAATCCCTGGGTACAGTATGTAGCAGCAGTCAGATTAACTATAAGAGGTGTTTATGTGATGTAATTAGTATGTAATGTAATCATTCTGTATTTTTCTTACAGTCTGTCTTAATGCCTCAGTCCGTCTCTCAACCCTACCTTGTCTGTTGCACTCAGCCCTAAGCCCACTGGTTCCTACTGATGATGTACATCTTTAAAATGGGTCATGAATATGTAGTTTCATTTTATTTTTAAAAGCTGAGTGATAAAACAACTGGCCACTGTAATTTTTAACAATCGTTACCCAAACAAGAGGCATTTTTGTCTGTGGGACTGACTCAAAATAAACTCCAGTGTGTGCACTCACAGTGAATACACAGACAGTAATTAGTAGGATCAATTCACTGTTGGTTTTGGGCTTTTCATGGGATTTGTTGACAATAAGGAAAATGTAGAATATCACCATACTCGCCTTTTAACAGCTTGACACTGACTTCAACCGTGTTGCAGAGCCCTGACTGGGAGTCAACACAGCGGCCACAAATGTACAGTATACTAGTTCATGTGAGTGATTTGGAGCCTCACGTCATTCGTGGCTGACAAAGAGGTGAAAAGTTGGGAGGATGATTAAGATCTTACGGTTAATCTCTCTCTCTCACAAACACGCACACACTTCAAAATGACAGCACATGAATCAACTGGGTGGTAACTTGATAGTCAAAGACCTCCCTTTCACAACCTGCAGCTCTGAGTTGTATCTTGCGCTCATTGGCTGCATCAGACCACCTGATGTCATGTCACCTTCCCATTTCCCAACCCAGGTTGCCTGCCTTGTGCAGAACTTTCTGGTGATGTTACATTGTGAACAGATGACTACCAAAATTGACTTTTCCACCTCAATAAAACTTTACTACTCTATAGAAGTATAATCTTCACTAAAAACATATCTACCTTTTCAGGTAACAACAATGCCTGAACTGAAGTCATTTTTTTCTTTATTAGAATTTTCTTTTTTTGTGCCAGTTTTTCAAATAGAAAGGGTTAGGGGGTTAACAATTTCCCCAACATAATTTATCAATGGACCTCCATTATGGCACCTGCTGTGTTTGATATTATGAGGGGAAAAAAAACAACCGAAACTCGCCATGACCTGTTGGAGCATGCTGTTCATTATAGCGGCCAAACCCAGCGTCTATCTCCATGACAATATCCATCAATTTCTACAAACGAAACTGTATGCCAGGATAATAACATCAGACTGAATGATATTATTAAAGTCATAAAAGTCTATTACACTGTATGAAATGATATCTGTCTGTTGTTGGTTTTATCCAATAGGAACATTTTGCAACAGTGACAGAAAGCTGTCTTTCTGACTAATACAGTCAAATAAAGCTCTGTTTTAGGGAGGTAATGATTCAACTTTATTTATTTCTAATATTTTTCTACCCCATTTATATCAGTACGGTAGACTAAATACTAAAAACGCACTCACACCACAAACTGAAGCCTTCGAAATGATCAAAAAGTTGAATCAACGCAAACTTTCAACAGAAACTAAACACTTCAACCTTTATGAATGTGAGACTGCTGTATAAGACTACATTTGTTTTAGCTACTGAGATTATGTATATGCACAGAAAACACATATTGCATCCATCAGGCTCTATTTAATATATATTTCTAACATTGTTACTGTTAAAATCCAATGTTCAAAGCCTTGGATGCACAAGAACAAAAAAAAAAAAAAAAAAAAAGGTTTTCTCACCATTTCGTTCATTTTGTTTCGGCTATATTATTTCTCATATTGTTCTTTTCTTTCATTTGAATGTATCAGTTGAGGTGCATCCTTTGGCAACAATCTTATATTTAACAATTACAACAATACATCTGACTACACTTTGATATCAACATAAATTTATGTGTTCATTATGAAAAACATGGACAAGATGGTCAGTTTATCTCACTTGTCTATAACTTTAAGTTCTTTCAGTCCAAAAAACTGTCATGGAACTAAACAACAATCCAACCACTCATACAACAAGAAAAATGGATGTTGGGGGGAGGAAAAACATAGATGGCCGCCCACCCTGAGCCATGGTTCTGCTCGAGGTTTCTGCCTCTTAAAAGGAAGTTTTTCTTTGCCTTTTCTTTACATGTGTATAGTGGTACAATGACCTCTCCCTGCAGTTAAGTTAGCTTATAAATGCAATTCTATTTTGTTGCTGACCCTCAAATGTTTGATATCAGGATTTGTAGTGGGGTCGGCCCTCAAAATACATTCTCGACTTATTTCTGTTATCTTCATGTGTGGACTGGGACATGATGAAGTTCTACTGTTTTTAAATAGACCACATAGATCACATGTTTCATTAGGTGTACACTGCTGTGGACACTTAAGCTTAATGCCTAAAATGCACATGCACTTACTTTCCACGGATCTTGGACACGTGCTCAGAGATGCAGGAGTGGATGTCACAGTTCTTCCTGTAGACATCGGCCAGCAGCTCGCCAAAGTAACGTACGTCCAGCTTCGTGGGCTGGGGCACTTCCTTCAGCTCAGTTTTCACCTCTGTCTTGGAGATCTTCTCTATCACCGGCTGCGGCTTCTGCCGTATGATGTTTACAATCTCCACCTCTTCCACCTCCACTCGCTCCTCCTCTTCTTCTTCTTCCTCCTCCACTTCCTCTTCCTCCTGGAGAAACAGGGGAGACATATTTTAAACCACTGTGTGTTACATGTCTGTTGTGTCTGAGTGAGACAAGTGAGTAGTCTGCTTTCTCCTTTCATTTTTAGATCCTTATAAACTGTCTGTACAGCATGTGTGTGAAGAAAATGTTTCAGTCAGTATACATGCATTGCTCACTGTAATGAAATCCATCTTTTTTATATTCAAAGTAAAGATTTCCTGTCTTGATAGTGACACATAACAGATTAGATCAAACTGACTTAATGGTGCGCAAGAAAGTCATAACATCACTCAGTAAAGAAGTTCTCATTTCGCTCACAGATTTATAGATAACACGATCAATGATGTACACTACTGTGCAAAGGTTTAGGCAGGTGTGGAAAAATGCTGTAAAGTAAGAATGCTTTCAAAAATAAATATAATCTATTAACATGTCTGTCAATAAACAAAATACAAAGTGAGTGAATAGAAGAAAAATGTAAAACAACTCAATATTTTATGTGACCACCCTTTGCCTTCAAGACAGCCTCAATTCCTCTAGGTACACTTGCAAATAGTTTTTGAAGGAACTCAGGGTCCCACTGATTTCTGCCAGTTCTTAGCTGACGGCACTGCTGGACATCTTCCGATTGCTAATAATAATAATAATAATAATAATCCTTATTTGTAGAGCACTTTTCAAAAACAAGTTACAAAGTGCTTTAACAAGTGTAAAAGGGAAGTAAGCATGATGGGTCTTTCATCTGCTGCAGTAAGTTTACTTGCATGCCCTTTAGGGCTACGGTCCTACGGCTGTCGGTTTCTTTGCGCTTCTTCAAAATAGCCTGGACATCTGGAACCGCCCCGTCAGTCTTGAAATGTCTGCCTGGGAGAGACTTTGCTGACGCATTATTTCAACAACTGTCTTCAGCAGCCTCACCTTGTTAAGGCTCGTGCAGACCACACAACTTTCAGTGTCGGCAGATCCATGTGCTGTTCAGACTACACAACTTGCTGTCTTGTGACGGGAGTCGTGAAGTCATTTTGGCGCTCACACTACTTGACTGATCAGTGACCGGGGGTCACACACTACACGAGCTGGCAACAGCTGTGTCACCGGACGCTGGTCTCCAAACCACGTTTTGTCAAGAAAACACGTGAAATTTTAAACGGGAAATGATGCGTACCTACACACAAAACAGCTGTTTGTTATTATAAAGATACCAATTATAAAGACAAAGAACCTGGATGAAAGAATTGATTAGCAGATGCAGGTAAAGATTGTCTGAGATACAGAGAGAGCTGAAGGTGAGTAAAAAGTGTTTTGCTGTGAAAAGTAGCTGCCTGCTCTCATTAGCTGGATGTAGAGGTGGCGATGGCGTAATGGATAAGACGCATGCCTTTGGTGTAAAAGACGCAGGTTCAATCCCCCCACTGAGACCCATCCACCAATATGTGGGACACATTAGCACTTAACCCCTAGTTGCTCCAGAGGCGTGCAACCTGGCAAAAATAAGTCGCTTTGGATAAAAGCGTCAGCTAAATGTAAATGATATGTGGATGTCGAGTCGGCTGACTCCTCAAGATATTTGGCTGGTGTCGGCGATGCGTCAGAAATCTGTCGTTTTGATGAAGTAGTTCACACATTATGACATCAATTGCTGATTTACCCCTGATCACAGCCTGGCGGTCGCCGAGCTCTCCAACTGGCAAATCAGGCTTAAAATTGTGTAGTGTGAACTAGGCTTTTGAGTTTGGCCATCCAGTTGTAATCCACTTCCACAGCTGTTTCTGTTTTTCAGTTAATGATTGCGTTTCAGTCTACATATTGAGTCAATGATAAGTGTTTAATCATACACCTGACAATATGCCACCAATCTCCCTACCTTTGTACAAGTGTACCTAGAAGAATTGATGCTGTTTTGAAGACAAAGATTTGATTTAGATTTTTCTTTTGTTTGTGCATTTTGTTAATTGACAAATATAATCTATAAACATGTCCATTTTTTAAAAGCATTCTTACTTTACAGCATTTTTAGTGTAATAAAAATCGGCAATCAGATGTCAATAAAATAAATAAATAAACAAATAAATCCCCTCCTTGGCTTCCTACTAAACAGCTGTCAACAGGGATAATTATTTTAAAAGATAATGTGAGCTATGCTGAATGACCTCTTTGATCTTACAACAAAATAATTACATTTAGTTAGCTGCTTAACAATGAAATGTAGGTCATGGAGGTGGTGATGACGCAGTGGATAAGACGCCTGCCTTTGGTGTGAGAGACCCGGGTTCAATTCCCCACTGACACCTTGTGTCCCTGAGCAAGACACTTAACCCTTAGATGCTCCAAAGGCGTCAGCTAAGTGAATAAATGTAAATGTCATGTTTCATAATTACTGGAAAAATCATTGCTGATGTATTTCAACTCTATAGATATTCTAATAATGATACCTCACAACATGACATGTGTGGCCTGCTTCAGCTTTTAACATGCATATTTTAGTGCATTTACAAATGTCCTTTAAAGATTTTCTTCCCCAAAGCTGCCATTTTTTAAATTTTTCTACTTAAAATGTCTTTGCATTTGAGTAAGGTTATTATTACAACATCATTATGCATACTGATTTGACATGTCTGCAGTACACTACAAGTTCATCTTTATACTCTGGAGAAATTAATAGTAGGTAAGACATTTTAAAACATAAGGTGTGCAGTAAAGTCCACAGGATTTAAAAAAAACAAACACACACAAAAAAAAACCCACTGGCTTTGTGGAGAAGGGGCATTGTCATGTTGAAACAGAAGAGCCTTCCCCAATTGTTGCCATAAATGTCACACACTACAAACATCAAAGAATTGTTGCATAACCTGTTAATCTAACGCTGAGCTGCCTGCTGCGTGTACACTTCACACAGAAAGCACTTTCACTCTCTTCAAACACCTGTCTGTCACACTCTGTCATGCCAACATTTTTTTTATCATATTTGTCTTCTTTCAACATAGTTTCTTCTATTTTTAGGCCCTGTGATGGACGTTGTGACAAACTGGTTGTTAAAAAGCTTTTCAGCAGAGGGAAAATCTTGAGTTTGATTAAAACTGATACATAATAATATATGAAGTTTGGCCCTTTTTGTGAAAGTTGGGTTGGTTGGGTTTCTTAACAGGCCTGTGTTTGCTAATTTACACTTTTGACCTGACTTTTTATTTACGACAGCAGCACTTTGGGTTTCCATAGTAAACCTGCATTAATAAAATATCTGAAATGTTGCATAGCAAAAATCCTGGAGGAAAGTGAGCTTTGAGGCAGCCAACACGAGGCTTAGCTTCACTCCTTCTTCCATTCAGATACAATCTGAGATCTTAAGATCACACACACTCCCAAATGGCTATACTAAATAATCTTAATAATAAAGAAAAGGGAAATATATCTTTCTGAAAGTAACAATACTGCATCATGAGATGTTTAAGGTGGTTTTATTATCGGTTTCAGCCCTGACAAAGACAAACAAAGATACAGAGCAAGTGAGTGAGGTCATTTTGCCTGATGTCATGCCTTTATCCAAACTGTGGCTGTGTCGAGAGCGGTCCTTCCAGATTCCACATGAGTCCCGAGGGAAGACTGGCAGACAGATTTTCCCACCAGGTAAAGTTTACACTATAGTGCCATTGGCCGGCGACCAAGACCCACATGGAACCCTGCAGTACACTAATATCCCAACATCTTCAGTATCTACTGTATGTTCAGTTTCTGTTGACACTGTGTCAGACAGGTGTTCACTCCAATCTGTGCTCATTTGTTCCAGTTATAGTCAGTGGTGGTTTTTCATAATCTTTTGTTTATCAACATTAGCATGGTTCCAGCTTCTCATATATGTTGATCAGCTGCTTTTCTCAGTTTCATATCATTGTTCATTGAATAGCTTATCGTAATTTAATACTATGAAAATAACTGCAAGGCACAGCCCTACTTTTAAAGTAATGCAATCAAGTGTACCACCACCCCTAACTACAACCTCAAAACCATAGAGTTAACCCCTATCTGACAATGTTAACAAAAACTGAACTTTATAAGCTTCACCTAGTATTTTTAGCAGGATGATTGCATCTGACTGGATTAGAGCTGTACAGCTGTTCCTGATTTTTCAGAGTTATCAGGAAAAGAAACACTTCAGATGCCAAAGTCTTTCTGAGAACCAGGGCCTTTTGCATATCCTGTAGCTGCCACCCATGCAGCAGACCCAGTGGGAGAAAGACTAACAAAATAATGTCATCACTACCAGGAAACACTGGCATACTATAAGTTTCAGTATTATTTGTTTAGTTTTTTTTTTTTTTTAATCAAGGAAACACTACAGACAGGAAGAACAATACAGGCAGTGAAGTGGCTAAAATGTCTGAAACAAGATGACTGTGCCATACAACTCAGTGGGCAGGAACTGGCACTAACAGAGACTGTTAGGAATTTGATTCCTGCAGGGACAAACCCCAGAACAAATACGACTTTGATTCAGGCTTTGGAAGAGTGAACCCTGGGTTTGAAACAACCAGTGACAAAGTGGGTCAAACACGGTCATGTGAGGAACACAATTCAATAGAAATTGCACACACACTTCATCGCTCAAGAGAGCAACTTATTTAAGTTCCATCTTAAATTTTCATAAAGGTCGAGTTTAAAGATAACAGCCCTGTAATGCCAAATATACTGAAAACATGGGCCGTATTAGGCTTTGTGAGTATGAGCCACTGAAAGCACCATAAAAACTTTTAACATTAACTAAAAGTACACATTTTGGGAGTTATCATTATTAAAACTGTCCCAGATCTCACACTGTTTGAATAAGGGCTTGGCACTAAAGGCCTGACACTGTGAGGTCACAAGTCAAACCCTGTCTGGTTGCAGTGACGACGGCGTGAAATCTGGAGTTTGGTTTATGATCCTGCAGAGCTCAAAGGTCACAGCAGGACCTAAGGTTGGCAATTTCAGGGCCATTCTTTTAGCTGTTAGACATTAAATTCAATGTAAG